GTATTTCAAAACTGCTACTTATGGAGGTCTAGAAGCTATGGTTTGTAAAGAAAAATATAGGCATTCAATGAAAAGGAGTGGTATCTGGTAGGTGCCATGTGTAAGGATGGTTGCTGCTAAAATTCAAGAAAACATGAGGGTGATCAAGTTTGTAATAGGAAATTCCAATATCTAAATTTCAAAATTAAGTTAAAGAATAAGTTTGACTCCTGATGAAGATTAAAACCATATGCTTAGTTATACTTATACCTCCATAGATTGGGATTCAGTACTTCTTACTAGTAGGAACTCCTGAGATGCATGGAAACCACATGAAGGATTTTCAGAGTACAGACATTAAAATTCATGGTAATAGAATATTATTTGTTATTATTATTATTGTTGTTGTTGTAATATTTGCTCATTTTATGTATTAGTAATTTTCTTTTCCAAATTTCAGATTTAAAAATGTGATACTGTAATCATGTCATTTTCACTTGCACAGCCTTGTGGTTTACTCATCCATTGGTGGATCCTAGTAATCTGTATATATGTAATGTGGTAAGTTACAGGATACCAGCCTGAAGTACATTGAATTATGGGGCACCAAAATCACAACCTCCTATTAACCTCCTTTATTAGTTCATATTTGGGGACTTGTGCTTTTGGTCAATTGTCACATATATTAGAGCACTTGTCTTCTTCCAGCACTCCAAAGAAGTTAAGTTGTTCTAAAGGTGGACCAAACATCTGGAAGAGGGATAGGGAGATGACACAGAACAGATAGCACACTATTGGGGATGCTTTTCAACTAACTTGTCTTTCCCTGACATAGGGAGAGATTGATGGAAATTTTCTTTTTTATCAAAAAAGAAAGTGGTTAACATGTGATCCTTTGAATTATTTGAAGCAGATTAAGTGGCATTGTCAGGAAAACAGAATCATATTCTTACGATTCAGTCAAGCTTGTGGGAAACCAAAAGGCTTCCTAATGGGAAACAATTGGTTTTATGATTCCCTTTGGACTCTCATATACAGGGGGAGACGCCTGATGCAAAAGGAAGGAAAAATAACAAATGCAATTGTGAATTCAAAAAGACCTGATGACAAAGGAGAAAGAACAAATGAATTATGTAACCCACTTGCACTTAAACAATTTTGGTATGTACATATGAGTTTAGTTTGTTATATTTACAATTTTTTCCAAGATTTATTATATTATATTGATACTTCTGGTTTCACAATTTGTGGTTCTATTTTTATTGTATAATACATAGGGTTGACAGACTTCATTGATGCGGGAGATCATGATGTCATTGTCTCAATTTTCCCTTACGCCCCCGTTCGTTTGCAGGTGAATATGCATGGGAAAGTTGGCCAGTGGTTTTTCCCATTGACCAACTTTCCCATGTTCTTTTTGCATTAAGCAATGTGCCCACAGTAAAGTTACTTACATATCTCCCAGGTGGGAAAAGTAACTTTCCTAGCTGGGAGAAATTTTTATAAAACATGATGGGACCATTTTATCCATTTTAATAGTTACTTTTGTGAGTGGAAATGTCATTTTATTATTTACCTAGGAATCCTAAAAATCAAAAGAACATGGGCAAGTGCACTTGTCCAGGTAAATGAAACATTTACCTGGATAGTTGCACTGTTACAAATGAACAAGGCCTTAAAGTATTGCAACGGAAATCTCCAAAATAAGACTTCTTAATTTGGACCATTAAGATTGGGACTGATATACATAAACCCATTACATCCATATCAGCTTCTACTTGGCCAAAACTTGGCCTAAACCGTCTGGTTGTGAAGTATTAAGAATTGGTTTGGGGCCTCACCATTCCTCCAACAGAAAAATCCTTTGGTGGATGGCTATATATTGTAGTAGTTAGAAGTGGCCTTATAAAGCCCAGTGCCTCTTTGAGGATCCTTATTTCCTTCTCGCAACGAAATACTAACATTCACAAAGTACCTGTTTTTGCCATATACCATCCCCAACTAAATGCATCCCAAACAAATTCCAGAGCCCACATTTTTCTGAAGCTCTCATGTCTTTATCAGGTACCCAGTTGGTGAATGACCCTAAGCTGGAGAAGGAATGTTGATATTAGATATGACACTGAAGTTATCCRACATCCTGACTTCTGATCTACTGAGTTTCATTGGAGACACCTCTCATTTAGTTGCGCGCAAAACCTTATTCTTCAGTCATGTTAAAAGCTTTGTAGATCATGTAGCTTACTTGGTGACCGTATTCAGTCTCTATCTGGCTTTGATGGGCAACCTCGCAGTATGACATGACAATAAAGCTTTGGATAAGTATAGTTTTCCATCTAAATTTGGGCTCTACCTTACAAATTACCATATGTTTTCCAAGAAAATRAAYTGCTATTGAAATGAAGATTATGAAAAGAATCATTTGAAAATTAGCTTCTGATAGAAGAATGATGACATCCCGACTAGGTAATTGGAGTTAAGGTTGAATTATGCATATATGAATTGCCAGACTTGGACTGGACTCAACTGTTGGACGTTCAGACCACTCAGAAAAAGTGATCAAATAGATTTTAATTCACCACTCATTTTCTTTGATGGACTGTTCAGACCATCTATCTGCCTATGCATGTGCACAAGATAAAAAAATAAAAAAAAGGATAATAACAAAAGCCTTGTAATGCAAATTAAGCGATTTAAACTCTCTATATAGTTTGAGACTTGGGATTGAGTCCCGCCTTCACCGGGTTGAGGGGGTCTAGGGGAGTTCAAATCTGCCCCCACAGAATGCGTCCAAAAATGTTTCACGGCACATTCCAATTGTGTATTGGGAACATCTCCCAGTCAATACACGCTGAGATGTGCATGTGGGATGTTTTTGGGGCGCATTCTGTGGGGGACAGATGTGAACTCGTCTAGTGGTTTGGGGGGAGGGTTACCCCTGTTCTGCAGCCCATTAAAAACAATAGATAAAATAGTTTACAAAGTAGTTGAACTAAACAAACGAAAATTCACTTGATTACTTCATAAATAGAACACATAAATATTGAGACTTGTTACAAAGAAAAGACACCTTTGTCTCTCTCTAGTTACATGTAATCAAAATCACACCTAATTCACAATTATGCACTTCTTCCTAATCTCGCCTTGCGACCCAGTGAGCACATCAATCGAACCCATATGGACCATGGCAGATGCAAATTTGGCAGCCCAGGCTGCTGGATGATTCATGTTGCCTCTCACCGTCTTTCTTGTTGAGGGATCAATCCAGAGCACTTGGTCTGAAGTCAACAGTCCCTTGTGTTTCTTCAAATTCTTATAGTAATTGTTGTCTAGACGATCTGGGGTTACTGCATCGAATGGTACAACTGGGTCTAGATTATTTTTAGCAGTTGGATG